AGTCTGGAAGTTGAGTTTACAGTCTAACCAGACACCTAGGTATTTGTAGTTGTCCACATACTCTAGGTCAGACCCGTCGAGAGTGGTGATTCTAGTCGGGTGGGCGGGTGCCAGCAGCGTTCGATTGAAAAGCATGCATTTAGTTTTACTAGTGTTTAAGAGCAGTTGGAGGCTACTGAAGGATTGTTGTATGGCATGATGGATGATGGAGCACCTTGCCATAAGGCAAAGTGATAACTAAGTGGCTCGGGGAACAAAACATCGACATTTTGGGTCCATGGCCAGGAAACTCCCCAGACCTTAATCCCATTGAGAACTTGTGGTCGATCTTCAAGAGGCGGGTGGACAAACAAAAACCCACAAACTCCAAGCATTGATTATGCAAGAATGGGCTGCCATCAGTCAGGGTGTGTTGCAGAGGTCTTGAAAAAGAAGGGTCAACACTGCAAATATTGACTCTTTGCATAAACTTAATGTATTTGTCAATAAAAGCCGTTGACACTTATGGAATGCTTGTAATTATACTTCAGTATACCATAGTAACATCTGAAAAACATATCTCATAACACTGAAGCAGCGAACTTTGTGAAGACCAATATTTGTGTCATTCTGAAAACGTTTGACCACGACTGTACAGTACTGTTCAAAGGTTTGGGGTCACTTAGAAATGTCCTTGTTTTTCGAAAGAAAAGCAATTTTTCTGTCCGTGAAAATAACATCAAATTGATCAGAAATACAGTGTAGACATTGTTAATGTTGTAAATGGCTATTGTAGCTGGAAATGGCTGATTTCTAATGGAATATCTACATAGGCGTACAGAGGCCAATTACAGTGGGGGAAAAAAGTATTTAGTCAGCCACCAATTGTGCAAGTTCTCCCACTTAAAAAGATGAGAGAGGCCTGTAATTTTCATCATAGGTACACGTCAACAATGACAGACAAAATGAGAAATGAAAAATCCAGAAAATCACATTGTAGGATTTTTTATGAATTTATTTGCAAATTATGGTGGAAAATAAGTATTTGGTCAATAACAAATGTTTCTCAATACTTTGTTATATACCCTTTGTTGGCAATGACACAGGTCAAACGTTTTCTGTAAGTCTTCACAAGGTTTTCACACACTGTTGCTGGTATTTTGGCCCATTCCTCCATGCAGATCTCCTCTAGAGCAGTGATGTTTTGGGGCTGTCGCTGGGCAACATGGACTTTCAACTCCCTCCAAAGATTTTCTATCGGGTTGAGATCTGGAGACTGGCTAGGCCACTCCAGGACCTTGAAATGCTTCTTACAAAGCCACTCCTTCGTTGCCCGGGCGGTGTGTTTGGGATCATTGTCATGCTGAAAGACCCAGCCACGTTTCATCTTCAATGCCCTTGCTGATGGAAGGAAGTTTTCACTCAAAATCTCACGATACATGGCCCCATTCATTCTTTCCTTTACACGGATCAGTCGTCCTGGTCCCTTTGCAGAAAAACAGCCCCAAAGCATGATGTTTCCACCCCCATGCTTCACAGTAGGTATGGTGTTCTTTGGATGCAACTCAGCATTCTTTGTCCTCCAAACACGACGAACATTTTGTCTGTCATAGTTGACGTGTACCTATGATGAAAATTACAGGCCTCTCTGATCTTTTTAAGTGGGAGAACTTGCACAATTGGTGGCTGACTAAATACTTTTTTCCCCCACTGTATCAGCAACCATCAGTCCTGTGTTCCAATGGCATGTTGTGTTTGCTAATCCAAGTTTTTATCATTTTAAAAGGCTAATTGATCATTAGAAAACCCTATTGCAATTATGTTAGCACAGCTGAAAACTGTTGTGCTGATTAAAAAAGCAATACAACTGGCCTTCTTGAGACTAGTTGAGTATCTGGAGCATCAGCAATTGTGGGTTCGATTACAGGCTCAAAATGGCCAGAAACAAATAACTTTCTTCTGAAACTCGTCAGTCTATTCTTGTTCTGAGAAATGAAGGCTATTCCATGCGAGAAATTGACAAGACACTGAAGATATCGTACAACGCTGTGTTGAAGCAGTCAGCTGGTATTCTGTCTATAATGGAGTGGCCAGCACAGTCACCGGATCTCAACCCTATTGAGCTGTTGTGGGAGCAGCTTGACCGTATGGTACGTAAGAAGTGCCCATCAAGCCAATCCAACTTGTGGGAGGTGCTTCAGGAAGCATGGGATGAAATCTCTTCAGATTACCTCAACAAATTGACAACTAGAATGCCAAAGGTCTGCAAGGCTGTAATTGCTGCAAATGGAGGATTCTTTGACGAAAGCAAAGTTTGAAGGACACAATTATTATTTCAATTAAAAATCATTATTTCTAACCTTGTCAATGACTACATTTCCTGTTCATTTTGCTATATTTCCTATTCAAACTCATTTCATGTATGTTTTCATGGAAAACAAGGAAATTTCTTAGTGACCCCAAACTTATGAACGGTAAGTGTGTGTGTGTGTGTATATATATATATATATATATATAATGTATGTATGTATGTATGTATGTATGTATGTATGTGTGTGTATATATATATATATATTTATATATATATGTGTGTATGTATGTATGTGTATACACACACACAGTGGGGAGAACAAGTATTTGATACACTGCCGATTTTGCAGGTTTTCCTACTTACAAAGCATGTAGAGGTCTGTAATTTTTATCATAGGTACACTTCAACTGTGAGAGACGGAATCTAAAACAAAAATCCAGAAAATCACATTTATATGATTTTTAAGTAATTAATTTGCATTTTATTGCATGACATAAGTATTTGATCACCTACCAACCAGTAAGAATTCCGGCTCTCACAGACCTGTTCGTTTTTCTTTAAGAAGCCCTCCTGTTCTCCACTCATTACCTGTATTAACTGCACCTGTTTGAACTCGTTACCTGTATAAAAGACACCTGTCCACACACTCAATCAAACATACTCCAACCTCTCCACAATGGCCAAGACCAGAGAGCTGTGTAAGGACATCAGGGATAAAATTGTAGACCTGCACAAGGCTGGGATGGGCTACAGGACAATAGGCAAGCAGCTTGGTGAGAAGGCAACAACTGTTGGCGCAATTATTAGAAAATGGAAGAAGTTCAAGATGACGGTCAATCACCCTCGGTCTGGGGCTCCATGGAAGATCTCACCTCGTGGGGCATCAATGATCATGAGGAAGGTGAGGGATCAGCCCAGAACTACACGGCAGGACCTGGTCAATGACCTGAAGAGAGCTGGGACCACAGTCTCAAAGAAAACCATTTGTAACACACTACGCCGTCATGGATTAAAATCCTGCAGCGCACGCAAGGTCCCCCTGCTCAAGCCAGCGCATGTCCAGGCCCGTCTGAAGTTTGCCAATGACCATCTGGATGATCCAGAGGAGGAATGGGAGAAGGTCATGTGGTCTGATGAGAAAAAAATATAGCTTTTTGGTCTAAACCAAAAACACTCGCCGTGTTTGGAGGAAGAAGAAGGATGAGTACAACCCCAAGAACACCATCCCAACCGTGACGCATGGAGGTGGAAACATCATTCTTTGGGGATGCTTTTCTGCAAAGGGGACAGGACGACTGCACCGTATTGAGGGGAGGATGGATGGGGCCATGTATCGCGAGATCTTGGCCAACAACCTCCTTCCCTCAGTAAGAGCATTGAAGATGGGTCGTGGCTGGGTCTTCCAGCATGACAACGACCCGAAACACACAGCCAGGGCAACTAAGGAGTGGCTCCGTAAGAAGCATCTCAAGGTCCTGGAGTGGCCTAGCCAGTCTCCAGACCTGAACCCAATAGAAAATCTTTGGAGGGAGCTGAAAGTCCGTATTGCCCAGCGACAGCCCCGAAACCTGAAGGATCTGGAGAAGGTCTGTATGGAGGAGTGGGCCAAAATCCCTGCTGCAGTGTGTGCAAACCTGGTCAAGACCTACAGGAAACGTATGATCTCTGTAATTGCAAACAAAGGTTTCTGTACCAAATATTAAGTTCTGCTTTTCTGATGTATCAAATACTTATGTCATGCAATAAAATGCAAATTAATTACTTAAAAATCATACAATGTGATTTTCTGGATTTTTGTTTTAGATTCCGTCTCTCACAGTTGAAGTGTACCTATGATAAAAATTACAGACCTCTACATGCTTTGTAAGTAGGAAAACCTGCAAAATCTGTGTGTGTGTGTGTATATATATATATATATATAACTAACTAACTTTGGGTCTTCCTTTGCTGTGGCGGTCCTCATGAGAGCCAGTTCCATCATAGCGCTTGATGGTTTTTGCGACTGCACTTGAAGAAACTTTTGTTTCTCTTTGCTTATTTGAGCTGTTCTTGCCATAATATGGACTTGGTCTTTCACCAAATAGGGCTATCTTCTGTATACCACCCCTACTTTGTCACAACACAACTGATTGGCTCAAACGCATTAAGAAGGAAAGAAATAACACAAATTACGTTTTAACAAGGCACACCTGTTAATTGAAATGCATTCCAGGTGACTACCTCATGAAGCTGGTTGAGAAAATGCTAAGAATGTGCAAAGCTGTCATCAAGGCAAAGGGTGGCTACTTTGAAGAATCTCAAATATAACATATATTTTGATATGTTTAACACTTTTTTGGTTACTACATGATTCTATATGTGTTATTTCATAGTTTTGATGTATTCATTATTATTCTACAATGTAGAAAATAGTAAAAATAAAGAACAACCCTTGAATGAGTAGGTGTGTCCAAACTTTTGACTGGTACTATATATATTAGTTTATTTGCAATTCCTATGATATATTACAAATTCTAATTCGTACAATAGTTTACACATTTTTAAGTGCTTAAGATCCTGGACAGCATCTTTAAGACGTGTGTCTTGCCAATTGAATACATTTTAAGGTGTTGAAATCTTTTTTACATTTCTCTGACTGATTGAAAAACACTTTTCATGGCGGCCTTTGGCTTACTTTTATTACCTTTTACTTTATTTTGTTTTTGTCAGGTTTGAGTTCTGTGAACCCATCTTCGTGGTGGGCAACTGTCTGGAGATCTCGTCAGACAGTCATCAATACGACCGTATCTACTGTGGTGCGGGGGTGCAGAAGGATCATGAAAATTACATGAAAATCCTGCTCAAAGTTGGGGGTATTCTAGTGATGCCTATAGAGGATCAGGTAAGCGTTAGAATGTCTCTGAATAATGCAGACAACATAAACATCATTATTCATGATGGTGCCTTCCGTGTTGGGAATCAGAGGCTGTGTCTGAAGTGGCAACTTATTCACTATATAGTGCACTACTTCTGACCACAGCACTATGGGCCCTGGTCTAAAGAAGTGCACTAAATAGGCAATAGGGTGCCATTTGGGATTCTGTTAGTGAAACAGCCCTAGCCTGCATGACCAATGATGTAACGATACCCAGCAATTGTTATTGTGCCTCAGAAGCCCCTGAACTGGTACTTACGCCATCAGTCTGCTCTATTTTGTCCTCTAAGAAATTGAAAAATAGCTAAAACACTTTAGAAAAAAGATGACATTGTGTGGCACTCAAGCAGGGAGGGAAACAACATAACATTTTTGAAGGGCTTGCACAAGCCCACACAGTCCGTCATCCTGTGAAATGGAAAGTCTATCTGCTTATGTTGTTTTTCTGAAAACAGTTGGAACTCCTGCGTTGCCAGGTTGGTGTGGTGGTGCAATAAAGAGGGGGATGTTTCTGATGAGGAGAATTAAGGCCAAAGGGCTGAGGCAGCTTAGAAGCTCAGGTCCACCACAGTTCCTCTGGATCAACACCTCTACATGACGGCCAAAACCAGCTTTTTGTCATGTAGATATTTGATTTGAAAGCACCCATGTCCCTTTCTGGTGTGGAACTAAAGATACATAATTTATAATACATGTGATTTTGTCCTTCTGTTGTCTTGGTGTTGTTGTTATCATGGTTGGTATAACCTTTCCATTGTCTAGTGCTGGGTACTCCAAATTTTGACCCGATTTCTTTATTTGAAACATTAAAAAATCGTTGTTGGACATTAAAGACTGTAAAATCACCAGGAAATCAGCTCAGTGATTTTAATTTAGGAAATCTGTTCCGAAGTATTCCCACACATAAATAGAGAGGCATATGTGATGGTATCCCAATGTAATCAAGGTAATCAAGAAAAAATTGGTCCGTGGCTGAATGTAATTGGGGACCCCTGAGGGATATCCTACAAAGCAAGCTAGATCTACTCTGGGTTTTCTAAAGCTAACCAGCTTCAAGTTAGATTCACATTCCAGCTCAGGCTTCATCCGTATTACGACGGTGGATAATGATTGTCCACCTGCCGCTAACGCAAGCAGGCTTGTAACTGCGGGTGCATGTCACACATGGCGAGTCAAATGCCGAACTCTTCATTGAGACAATGCTGAAACAACAATCCATGGGCGAGTCAGTGACACATTTTCATTTGTGCTGAAATCAAAATGAAAGAATTCGGCAGGCTATGGCGTGAAATAGGCTTTTAGAAGCACAGTCTTTATTTTATGATTTACTGGTAATGCACAAGCACCTTTTTTCCCACACCTATTGATATTTTTTAAATGATTAAGTAATACAAAAGTATTACATTGCGTGAAGTTTAAATGCATTCTTTCATTACTAAATGTGTAATGTGATATATTCTAACGCAATTTTTTTTAGTCAAAAAAAACCATTTGATTAATTAAACATTTAATCAGTCTTCCTCAAATGAAGGTGATGATGACGCAATCTTTGCAAGAGGGAGGGAATCTATACTTTTTTTAAAATAACTTTCAAATAGGCACGTTCTTCTCTTCTCTACCCTGCAACTCTTCCCTGGGTCCTTGGTGTACAAAACATCAGATCATGCGCAGACCAGCTGTCTGGAGTGTTTATGGACATATATGTGTACAAAAATAGATGTGTTTTCTGTGAATATATCTGGTCAAATGTAATTTTAATAATTTTAATAAAGGAAATCTGAGGAAAACGCTCTTGAAATTCTATCAACACGCCTTTGTACACGCGGCGCAAATGATTATTGACCATTGCTACAAGGCCCTCCCCCGCCCTCCCTTCAGGAAATCTGACCATGGGAACAAGGACGTGTACAAACAGACCAACTTTGACCTCCATTAGGCAATCAAAAAGGCAAAACGTCAGTACAGAGTCATAGTGGAGTTGGAATTCAACGGCTCAGACATGAGACGCATGTGGCAGTGACTCCAGACAATCACAGATTATAAAGGGAAAGCCAGCCACGTTGCGGACGCTGCCGCATCGATTCCGGACAAGCTAAACACTTTCTTCGCCCGCTTCAAAGAAAACAACACTGAGCCGCTGACAAGGATTGTGTGCTCCCGATCTCCGTGGTTGACGTGAGTAAGACATTTAATTGTGTTAACCCTTGCAAGGCTGCCGGCCCAGACGGCATCCCTAACAGCGTCATCAGATCATGCGCAGACCAGCTGTCTGGAGTGTTTATGGACATATTCAATCTCTCACTATCCCAGTCTGTTCTCCCCACTTGCTTCAACATGTCCACCATTGTTCCTGTACCCAAGAAAGCGAAGGTAACTGAACTATCAATCAATCAATCAAATGTATTTATAAAGCCCTTTTTACATCAGCAGTCACAAAGTGCTATCAGAAACCCAGCCTAAAACCCCAAACAGCAAGCATTGCAGATGTAGGAGCACGGTGGCTAGGAAAAACTCCCTAGAAAGGCAGAAACCTAGGAAGAAACCTAGAGATGAACCAGGCTCTGAGGGGTGGCCAGTCCCATTCTGGTTGTGCCGGGTGGAGATTATAACAGTACATGGCCATTAAGGCCAGATTTTTCTCCAAGATGTTCAAACGTTCAAAGATGACCAGCAGGGTCGAATAAAAATCACAGTGGTTGTAGAGGTTGCAACAGGTCAGTACATTAGGAGTAAATGTCACTTGGCTTTTCATAGCCGGGCATAAAGAGGTTGAAATAGCAGGTGCGGTAGGGAGAGAGATAGTTGAAAACAGCAGGTCTGGGACAAGGTAGCACATCCGGTGAACAGGTCAGGGTTCCATAGCCGCAGGCAGAAGAGTGGAAACTGGAGCAGCAGCACGACCAGGTGGACTGGGGACAGCAAGGAGTCATCAGGCTAGGTAGTCCTGAGGCATGGTCCTAGGGCTCAGGTCCTCCGGGATGGGAGGGAGAGAGAGAATTAGAGGGAGTATACTTAAATTCACACAGGACACCAGATATAACAGACTGACCCTAGCCCCCCGGCACATAGACTATTGCAGCATAGATACTGGAGGCTGAGACGGGGGGGTCGGGAGACACTGTGGCCCCGTCCAACGATACCCCCGGTCAGGGCCAACCAGGCAGGATATAACCCCACCCACTTTGCCAAGGCACAGCCCCCACACCACCAGAGGGATATCAACAGACCACCAACCTACTACCCCGAGACAAGGCTGAGTATAGCCCACGAAGATCTCCTCCACTGCACGAGCCCAAGGGGGCGACTAACCGGACAGGAAGATCACCTCAGTGACTCAACCCAATGACTATCGCCCCGTAGCACTCACTTCCGTAATCATGAAGTGTTTTGAGAGGCTAGTTAAGGACCGTATCACTTCCATCTTACCTGACACCCTAGACCCACTATAATTTGCACACAATACCCCATAATGACTAAGCGAAAACGGTTTTTTAGACATTTTTGCAAATGTGTTAAAAATAAAAAAAAATGAAATACGTTATATACATAAGTATTCAGACTCTTTGCTATGAGACCTGAAATTGAGCTCAGGTGTATCCTGTTTACATTGATCATCCTTCAGATGTTTCTACCACTTGATTGGAGTCCACCTGTGGTAAATTCAATTGATTGGACATGAAAGGCATACACCTGTCTATATAAGGTCCCACAGTTGATAGTACATGTCAGAACGAAAGCCATGAGGTGGAAGGAATTGTCCGTAGAGCTCCGAGACAGGATTGTGTCGAGGCACAGATCTGGGGAAGGGTACCAAAACATTTATGTAGCATTGAAGGTCCCAAAGAACACAGTGGCCTCCATTCTTCAATGGAAGAAGTTTGGAACCACCAAGACTATTCCTAGAGCTGGCCGCCTGGCCAAACTGAGCCATCGGGGGAGAAGGGCCTTGGTCAGGGAGGTAACCAAGAACCCAATGGTCACTCTGACAGAGGTCCAGGGTTCCTTTGTGGAGATGGGAGAACCTTCCAGAAGGACAACCATCTCTGCAGCACTCCACCAATCAGGCCTTTATGGTAGAGTGGCCAGACGGAAGCCACTCCTCTGTAAAAGGCACATGACAGCCCGCTTGGAGTTTGCCTAAAGGCACCTAAAGGACTCTCAGACCATGAGAAACAAGATACTCTGGTCTGATGAAACCAAGATTGAACTCTTTGGCCTGAATGCCAAGCGTCACGTCTGGAGGAAACTTGGCACCATCTCTACAGTGAAGCATGGTGGTAGCAGCAGCATCATGCTGTGGGGATGTTTTTCAGCGGCAGGGACTGGGAGACTAGTCAGGATCGAGGGGAAAGATGAACGGAACAAAGTACAGAGAGATCCTTGACGAAAACCTGCTCCAGAGCGCTCAGGACCTCAGACTGGGGCGAAGGTTCACCTTCCAACAGGACAACGACCCTAAGCACACAGCCAAGACAATGCAGAAATGGCTTCGGGACAAGTCTCTGAATGTCATTGAGTGGCCCAGTCAGATTTGAGGCTGTTCTGAGGGCAAAGGGGGGGTGCATCTCAATATTAGGAAGGTGTTCCTAATGTTTGGTATACTCGGTGTATCTACTAAATTTGAGATAATATTTTCAATTTTGGATTATTGTGTGCTTGATGACTTTAGTGGTCCTCTGTAGCTCAGCTGGTAGAGCACGGCGCTTGTAACGCCAAGGTAGTGGGTTCGATCCCCGGGACCACCAATACACAAAAAAAAAAAATATGCACGCATGACTGTAAGTCGCTTTGGATAAAAGCGTCTGCTAAATGGCTTATTATTATTATTATTATTATTATTGCATTGATTGATAGGAACTAGGAACAAAAGCATTTCGCTACACCCGACACAACACCTGCTAAACTGTGTACGCGACCAATACAATTTTATTTTATTTGTCTAGTGGATTGGTGTTAACATGGTTGGTTTGTTCTCAATGGACTGATGTTGTTGTTGTTGTTATTGTGGTTGCTATACAGTAACTGCCACTTTTTATTGTCTGGTTGCAGCTGACACAGATCACCAGGACTGGTCAGTGTTCCTGGGAGAGTAAGAATATCCTGGCTGTGTCATTCGCTCCTCTGGTCCAGCAGAACAGAGCTGAGGGAAGCAAGCCTGATGCTGTAGAGCTGCGTGAGTTCTCTATTCTAACCCCTGTTCTCTACTCTAACCCCTGTTCTCTACTCTAACCCCTGTTCTCTACTCTAACCCCTGTTCTACTTTAAACCTTGGGTCTTATTCACTAGGCACCAAACTGTAGAAAAATAAAGAGTTTTGCTACGGTGTGCACTAATGAATATGACCCTGTTCTGTACCCAAACAGTTTTTTCTGTTCTGTTCTCTGTAAATAGACACATCAGAACAATTCCCCCTTTGTTTTGTTTTCTATCTCTCTTTTGAAGTGTAAAGTAAGCCACACTTTTTAAGTCAAAGTATTTATTTAAAGTTAAAAGACGAGACAATTTCTAACAAAAACTTGACTCTAGAGGCCTAGCTGCCCTGTGGGTTGGTGCATAATTCTAAATAATTCATTAACCGTAATGGAATTTTTCCATTACTTATTTTTCTATAAATGTATTTGAAGTATTGTCTCCAAATGACCGACCTATAATCGAGCTCTTGCATACTGAATTTTAATAGAAAATGTTATTGGGCTAATGTGATTTGACCTGCCATCCTTGTTCCTGTCCTCTCCTCCTCCTCAGCCCCAGTGACGGTCAGGAGCCTTCAGGACCTGTCTCGCATCTACATCCGCCGCACCCTCCGAGATCTGACCAATGAGGAAAGCCTTGACAACGGCCTGGTGCAGAGGGCGCCCCAGAAACGCAAGCGCAGGCGTTGCCGGCGGCGACGCATTAACACGTACGTCTTTGTGGGTAACCAGCTGATCCCCCAAGCCGTGGAGAGCGAGGAGGACGAACGGATCGAGGAGGAGCAGCACAAGGGGGACCAGGAGCAGCAGGAGGCGCAGGAGAAGGAGCGGCAGCGGGAGGAGGAGAGAGACATTGGCAGCATTGAGATACTAAAGGCAGTGAATGTGCTGAGAGACAAAATCATGACTTTACCTCTGCCTGAATCGCTGAAGACCTATCTGTTATACTACAGAGAAAAATAAATGACTGACTGACTGACTACTCAACCTGCTGGTGTCCGTTCTCATGGATGCCATGCCTGCTGAGATGCTTGTCTTCACTTTCCTGTTTTCTCTTTTTTCAGTACTGAATGATGTAGCATTATTTTTCTTCAATATGAACATGGAATGGAGACTATGATATGGTTATGTTAGTTTTTATGTTATCGATTGTTTTGAATGTGTATATCAAAGCTTTATTTAAAAGCCTACTGAATGGAAAATCCTTTTCAAATATGGTATTTTGAGGATGTAGATTTTATCACATGTTAATATTCCAGCTAATTGTCATGAAATGAAATTGTACAAAATAAATAAAATGCTACCTATATTTGTTAACAATATGATAATGTAAAAATCCTGATTTTTACTGCACCTTTTTCTAGAACCATTAAAGAACTTGATATTACTGAATGAAGATTTACAATTGCTGAATAGATAAAAAAAACTAGATTGGTTTGTAAGTTCTTCTGGAGGGCATTTTTAAATCTATCTGAAGTATTTATTTAGAATGGTTATATCCTCGTTGTTTATCTCACTTTGCTCTTAAGTAATAGGCATTTTAATTTGGTTATACATTTTTATGGCCTTGAATGCTTCGTCAGCCAGACTTATTTTTCCCTCTTTTTTTTGCTGACGTGCAAAGGGTTTACAATTATCATACCAGCAGTTAGGCTAATGGGGAATGTGATGAATTAAGATTTTTCTAATGGTAAATGAAAACGGTCTCATGTATTGATTCTAGGATCAATAACTATTTTCCCCCACACATCATCTCCAGTTCTTTATCTAGACCTTGAAACACTTACAGTATGTCAGAACACACAACAAGACCCAATATAAAGTCACAGGGGTATAGGGCTCCTAGAATAATAATAATAATAATCCTGTACAGCAGTGGTGGCTGGTGTCACTTCAAACAGGAGGACAGGCTCATAGTAATGTTTGGAATGGAACAGTATCAAACACATGGTTTCCATGCATTCAATATTATTCCATTCCAGTCATTAATGTGAGCTGTCCTCCCCCTCACTGGCCTCCACTGCTGTGCAGTGATGAGTAAGTGTTATGGCTTCTCTTAAAGGTTTAAAGGTTATGTTTGTCAGCTTTGGTCCACACAACATCCATTCTTTATCATTTGGAGGTGATGTCCCACATGATCATAAATGTACAATTACTTTCTGGTATGAAAATATGTACTGTGTTTTTTAACCACAACAAATGGCCAGAGGCAGGTCATGACAAAAACTCATATGTTGTATTGTACTGCATTTTCTATTTGCAACAGCGCAAATTCACAATAATGGGAGATTTTGGGATCCTTCTTTCTCTGGACTGTGGCAGATTCCACTATAACAAGCAACTTATTCTGTTAAGTCCTAAATCATGAAAAGAGACTTGTCATACTGGGTTTGATGTATGTTTTTTTTATTTTGGACTGGAGCAATGTATGAGACATGATATACGAGTCATGTAGCTGTACGTGTATCAATTATAATTTTATTGTGAAACTCCCCTTTTAAGTGATGGCTTTTAAAGTGCCAATACACCCCATCACAATATCCGTTCCCTGTCAAGTGACTCTGGTTTTATGGCAAAGTAAAGGGGGACATTCTGACCAGGGCCAGCTCTAGCCTTTTGGGGGCCCTAAGCGAAATTTGGTTGGAGGGCCCCCCACCTCGCGGCAAAACATTTTAGTGGCCCCCTTCGATGGTGGATAGAGAATGTGTAGTTTTAAAGTTAATTTCTTACAATTCTACACATTTTTCCATGGGGCATAGTGGAAATGTTTGTTTTAAAGCAAATTTAGGCAATTCTACACATTTTGCCACAGGGTGGAGAGAAAACAATTATTCTGCCATGATTACTACAAGTTTAGGTAGCTGGCTAGACTAATTACCTATCTAAAAATTGTTAGCTGACATGGCTAATTGAGTGACTGACATAACAAGAGAAACTGCTGATGCACAACCACATTTCAAAATTGCACCTGGTGTATTCTACTATTCTTATTCTCAATAGTATATTGAGACCCCTAGCTTCCGTGGGGCTCTAACCGGCCCTGATTCTGACCATAGTGACTTCTAAGAACGATGCAGTGCTTCTACAGTACATTCCATTAATGCTTGAAAAAGAATAGCATGCCCATGTCCATTGGTAGATGTCACATTTATGTTTTTATAGTTTTATCACAACTTGGAAACTGATGATTTATCTTGCTTTGGAAGCATTGAAATTATAGTTGTTGATATATTATTGAGGTTCTATTTTGTATTAACATGACAACAGTAAAGTAGATTGTTATGTTGATACTGTATGTTTGGTTATAAAATCATTTGGATTGGGTTTGATTTGTTTGTTGGTGTAGTGCCCTCTTGCTATCACAAGGCACTGCGGAATCTGCTTGTATGTAGGCTAGGTCCACACTCCACTAGTGTTAGTTCTATGGCTAAACATGCCTGCCAGGAAAATTGTAAGCAATAATACAGAAATGACTAACTAGCACATGCTGTATAAGTAGCAGGGCGTTATGGCTCAAAAGCAACTGTCATTTTGATAGTCATCATTCTGAATAATCTAATCTCTGAAAAATGCAGATGCTAAATTATGTACACACATTAAACTGTGTTGAAATCACATTTACAGTGGGTAAAACTGCAACGTTAAGGTGTTGGACATAATTTATGAGACCTAGTCCTTGAGATTTTGGGTCACCCCATGCACTAACACTTGATAGGATTGTTTGGTTCCCCAAATGGTCCTCACAGTAAAGACCCAATTCCAAGCCAATGTTATGGTCTTGCCTTGAATTAATTTGTACAGAGGTGAAACTATTGTTCAGTTTTTTCTTATCAGGCTCATGTTGATATTTAAAGTGTGCTGGCAGTACATTTTTGAAATGGTGTCAGTTCCCTCTGCACATGTTTCAGCACACACAAAATAAAGGTCACAGTCTTCACATGTTTGCCTCTGTTTAAATCATTAATTCCTTCCCACTGCTGTAGAGTCCCACAGTTACTTACTGTAGCTTTTCTCACCCAAGTATTTTTAATTATTCCTCTTTGCCAAGACTCAATGAGTCGTGGTTTAATCTTTCTCATCTCATGTCTTTATGCAGAGAAGAAGCATAGCAACATCCTTAACCCATAACTAGCCCAGCCCTGACTGTAACCTAAAAATAGGATATCATGGTCAAAAATAAAAGAAGGTAACATTGGCTCATTCAGTGGTGATATAAAATATATTATTCATACGTTTGAAAAAATGTTATGCTTTGCCACCATCTCTGACTTTACTGTCAAACAATGTATTATCTCAAATCGGCCCCATGTTACAAAATGTTTTATTTATTAAGTAGTACACTATATATTTGTTAATAAAACAGCTATCATTTGCCAAAAAATAAAAGCCACCCCATCAATCTCTTGTTTTGAAGTGTTCCAAGCCAAGAGTATGTGAAAGAGATCTAGGCTATATGTAAAGCACAACACAGCGCAACTTCAACTTTCTTTGCATAGAATCTACAGCACTTTCCCTTTCTAGACTTATGTCAGATGACCAACTTGTTATGCTCTTCCTCGACCCCATTTAATTTTGTCCTCTGATTTCCTCACCCAAAGCCGTCTACTTAGTGACAGTGAGGGGAATGGTGGTCAAGCACATCACTTCACTTCATATAGCACTCTGATATGTTTTTGGATTAGTCGTCATACTACAACATTTTAAAATCGATTTTGACTTTAGAGTGGATGGATGCAGTTCGAAGAGGCTTTTCTAAGCGCTTTGGGACACAATGCTACATATTAGAATCTGCTTGCAATGTGGTTCTTATTGTGATAATTTTTACACTGACATGACAGAGACAGCATCTTTTTAATCATGGGTGGCAATCAATTTTGTTCATTGAACTTGGTAAAGAGAGCATGAGGGTATCAACTATTTATTCTCTGTGGAACGCATTAAATTTCATTTGGATGTCAACCTTTATTTACATCATCAAGATTAGCAGAAAAAATTAACATTACAGAAAGGGTTTATTTAATTTGAGTGAATTGTATTTAGAGCAATATCTTCCAGTGAGTGCAGGACCAGGTATAGACATTTTCACACAACCACATGTTCTGAATCTGACTGACTGTGTTGGCTGTAGCACTTAGTCAAAATAATTCTCAATGATTCACTTTGTGAATCCGTCCTTAATCCAGGTCCAGTCCAGGTTGGGTGTGTGAGGGATTACTGTTTGCTGAATGCCTTGATTAAAAACACCTCTCGATTGCCTCTCTGACAGACTCATAATAGCAGCACTCATCCCTGTCCTCTCCTCCACATCAATAAAAAAGCTATGTTTACGTACATCTATAACCTGAGTCATTCCCTCCCTATATGACCCTGTTGTGTTGAAAGGAAATCGTATATAATTTGACATGATGTGATTTATATTTATAGTTTAACTATAACCACGTCATGGGCAACAAAAATAATCTATATGAAATTAACACTGAATTCAAATGTGCCATAAGGTTGATTCATTTCAAATTTGTGTATAATCCATAATGAAAACATTATCCAATGTTTCTTAGTTGAATTAAAGGATGTTTTCAGATAAATCAAAAAACATAGGTTAGAGAAAATTAAGTGCTTTCAACTTCATTATACAACCACACAAGGGGAAAAATACTTAACTATGTTTACACTGCCATGATTCCATCTAATCCATATTTATTAATCTAATCATTATTCATGGTCATTAAGAAATCACTATCCATGAAAAGAGGGGGGGGGGGGATATTTTTTTGTGTGGCTAATTTACATTTCCAATGATAAATTATGACAATACTAACTGACCATCCTTACAATTGCTATAATCAGCAGAAATCTAATTAAGTCTTCTTTAAATCTTCTTTTGTCGAAAATAAGAAAGCAATTTGTTCATAGTTCCCATCCTTATACTGTATGTCTACCTGTTCAAAAAAAATCTACTTGAAGCGGATTGAATATTGTAGAAAACAGTTTGTCTCCTTTGACGCCTTGGCAACACGATTGTGTTATGTTTAACAACAGTGTCAACAACACGTGTGAATCATTGTGAAAGGTGTCTAGGGATCTACCCAAAGACAAATAACTGAATTCAGAATGTTTTTAAATCATCCATCCATCCATTCTGTGTCCATTGGTTCTGTGCTCACTCCTCGTGTTACAATGTTCTTCGAAGTACAGCGCAATGAACAGGTCAAAACGTTCACAAAAGCCTCCTTTTCTCTGATAAAATATCAAATGTGTCTTTCTGAAGAAAAAAAAGTTATGTCAATAATACTTCCATTCAAATGTTGGATTCACATGTCCTTGTTCATTAGACGACCTTGGATACAGTACAACACACTTGTTTGTGTTCTCTCCTCCGTCTCTCCAGGCCATGATGTAGTAAAAGTGCAGTGTCTTAGGGGAGAGGGGGGACTCGGGAGAGAGGGGGGAGGAGAGGGGGTGAGCAGGCTCTGTCAGATGGAGTATTTGATTCTGGATGTCTGTGTATTACAGGAGACACTGGTGAGCATGGAAACCCCCCCAGCGGTAGTCGCAGCACCTTGGCTCTCCACAAACATCGGATCCAGGCAAGCAACTTTGGCAGCGAAGAATGCATGGATACAGTGCAGCACGGCAAAGAGGTTAGAAAATTCCAGCTCCTGTGAAACAAAAGATAGACACTAACTTATTAATGTTTTCGGATAATAATTAATTAATTAACATTTCTTATGCATTATTTATGGGTTTTAATTGGTATCGGCTGACTATGGTCAAAGAAAGCATGATCAAATATATCACTATTGGCTAATTTCATTTAAATCAGAGATACAGCATAGGATTGTTACCTTGGCTTCAATAGCTTTATTGTCCTGATTTTGGAACAGAAATTTGATCTTGCTCTTCCCGTCATCAGACGATCCTTTCAGTTGGGAGAATTTGTATCTCCACAGCACTGCCTGTATAGAGGAAGTAAATACAGTTGGAGATGGTTTATAAAGGACATTACCTTCTCTTACTAGCTGTTATCTTATCTATTTCATTCTAATAACATTTGTGGTCTAATCTCATTCTGATTTTCCACAACAAAATTATTCCCATCATGTTTTTTTCCTAATTAATTGCAAATGTACCAGACGGTGCAAGTTCATAACCTTGGATGATGAGCGTCAATGTCCTGTTGTTAATGATGATTTGAATCTACGAGTGATGATACACTTCCTCCTAATTGTCAACCATTTTGTTGGGCCTGTCTAGACAACGCACAGCACCTTGTTCTAAATCAGATGCCTGCATTTTCAACATGGGATAGGTAGGTTTTAATCTGTATCAATAGACAATGAGCTCTGCCTCTGTGTCACAGTCTGTCTGACTTCGTCATGAATAGAAAGGAACTTTATTTGCCCTTGAAAAGGAATTTGCACATGTAAAAGCTTTGGCAATATAAAACTAATGTACATAGTACACATTCCATACAAAACAAGACTTCCATGTACACAACCTACAATTGGAAGCAACAACTTTTTCCCCTAGGGGCTTCACACAGATCTGAACACTGAGTGCACAAGACAAAGCCGGTTTTCTATCTGATTGAATTATTAAACATTCCCCACCATGTGTATTGTTTTACAATTGCAGTTTAAATATGAATTGTACTTTCACGCTTGTTTTGGTAAACAATACCCTGCCTCTCAGCAGTAGGCTAGGCTGCTGTGAGACTCTCTGGGGAGAGAAAAAACACTTGCTTTGCTGTGTAGGAATTAGGCCAAGAAACACAGGGAACAATATAACTGTCGATGCGTCCTGTTCGTCCACATTATGAGTTCTAGTGGAATAGTTATTGTGGCACTCAGACTTGGTAAAAGGCCAAAGTCAACTGCAGGCAGAATATAAGGAATTTGGGCTGGAGGGGACCAGCCATCAAAACAAATGTGCTCAGTCTATCAAAATGCACACAGTGCAGAATAAGTTAGGAACACCACAGAGTAGATTTGAATGGTAAAACATTGTAATGGCATCATGGTTACTTCTACTTTTAAAGTAACGCTAGAGAAACTCAGTGTTATTGTCTACGTATCCTTCATCTATATGTATGACTTCAGCACAAATTAACGTTGATATACCAGTAACGTAACTTACTTTTGAAGCAGCATCGAAGCAGACAAAGCCCATGCTGAAGTCTATGGTCAGCCCCATCAGGTGGCTCTCCATGATGCAAGCGTATGTTTTACACTGTGGAGAGGTAACAGTGCATGACGTTAGTCACAAGATGCATATATAATAGACAGCATAACCTTCCACAGCTCCGTTAAACATGCCAACTGGACATAAATCAGTTGTGAGAGGATGACTAGGCTGGGCCTGTATAGTACAGTATGTCACGGCTTCTCTTAACCACTTTTCAGTGTTTCCCCTACCATTGTATAGGCAGGATGTGCCTCCCGCCTAGCTCTGCCCCACTCCCACCCCCACCTCAAATAGTTTGATTGGTTTCAAGTGACAATTTTGATGACAGAGAGCCTGGATGTTGCTTTGAGGGCAATGTACCCCACCATGAAATTGGTTTAGGGAAATGTGCTGCCTCTCATTTATTGCATACCTGTATTCTCTCCACCTCCAGGAAAGTAGCCATCTGAAAGGCTTTTTCCCAGATGAGCAGCTCACACTCCAGCTCTACGCTGTAGAACATGTCCTCCCCACACTCCGTCTGAATGCTGAAGCAGTGCTTCCGCTTGTCCAAGAGGTCACTGTCCTGAGAGAACCACGTTAGTCATACCTGCCATCACACCTGGGTTCAAATGGTATTTGTTTTCTTTCAAATGCTTTGAGTAGTTTGATTGAACCTGTCTGGAATGCCGGATGGGCAGGGTTTGCATTTTTTGACTATTTAAATTGGTTTCATTGGCCCTGGCAAGCTCAATCATAATCAAGCACAGCTTAAGTTTTTGAAATGTTTCACATATTATTTGAACCCAGGTCTTGCTGTCATGCTGACAATGTGCACAAGGGACAGTGAGCGACTCATACTGTACTGTATGCAGATAAGGAACTCAGATATACACAGATGGGATGTGACAGACATTGGCTGGAATTTAATCAACATGCATTGTGCTTTTTCAGAAAAGCTGTTTCACATGTTCAGAAATGCTGTTTCGGATGTGTAATGCAGTGTGTTATGTTAGGAGGGGGATAGTTGACACTTACTATAGGAATCACCAGAACTGTGCATGACATGGGTCGAATGACCAGATCAGTCAGTATGTGACAATGAACCTGGCTGAGTGAGAAATTAAGAGGTGGAGCTGCAGTCGCTGCAGTGAGGATTTCTAAATCAAACGTCAACTCCCTCCACCCACCTGAGACACATTGCTGTGCATAGCAAACACAATCGTGAAAGTGCATTGCAGAAAAGTTAAATGAGCTTTGTTTGATTAAATACCAGCCAGAGTTTCAGAAAGTATAACCGCTTCCAATAGTACCATTGTGAGTTTTGCACTGACATATTATATAGAAACCAGTGGTCAAGAAGTAGTTCAACTCCAGCCTTGCAAAGACCCAATGTGCTTAGAAACTGTAGAAAATATATATATATATTTATTATATATTATATAACTAGGGAAGTCAAATCAAATCAAAATCAAAATCAAATCAAATCAAATCAAATTTTATTGGCCACATGCGCCGAATACAACAGGTGCAGACATTACAGTGAAATGCTTACTTACAGCCCTTAACCAACAGTGCATTAAAACTAAAATAAAACAACAACAAAAAAGTGTTGAGAAAAAAAAGAGCAGAAGTAAAATAAAATAACAGTAGGGAGGCTATATATACAGGGGGGTACCGGTGCAGAGTCAATGTGCGGGGGCACCGGCTAGTTGAGGTAGTTGAAGTAATATGTACATATGGGTAGAGTTAAAGTGACTATGCATAAATCATTAACAGAGTAGCAGCAGCGTAAAAAGATGGGGTGGGGGGGGCAGTGCAAATAGTCCGGGTAGCCATGATTAGCTGTTCAGGAGTCTTATGGCTTGGGGGTAGAAGCTGTTGAGAAGTCTTTTGGACCTAGACTTGGCACTCCGGTACCGCTTGCCGTGCGGTAGCAGAGAGAACAGTCTATGACTAGGGTGGCTGGAGTCTTTGACAATTTTGAGGGCCTTCCTCTGACACCGCCTGGTATAGAGGTCCTGGATGGCAGGAAGCTTGGCCCCAGTGATGTACTGGGCCGTACGCACTACCCTCTGTAGTGCCTTGTGGTCGGAGGCCAAGCAGTTGCCATACCAGGCGGTGATGCAACCAGTCAGGATGCTCTCGATGGTGCAGCTGTAGAATCTTTTGAGGATCTGAGGACCCATGCCAAATCTTTTCAGTCTCCTGAGGGGGAATAGGCTTTGTCGCGCCCTCTTCACGACTGTCTTGGTGTGTTTGGACCATGATAGTTCGTTGGTAATGTGGACACCAAGGAACTTGAAGCTCTCAACCTGTTCCACTACAGCCCCGTCGATGAGAATGGGGGCGTGCTCAGTCCTCTTTTTTTTCCTGTAGTCCACAATCATCTCCTTTGTCTTGGTCACGTTGAGGGAGAGGTTGTTATCCTGGCACCACACGGCCAGGTCTCTGACCTCCTCCCTATAGGCTGTCTCATCGTTGTCGGTGATCAGGCTTATCACTGTTGTGTCGTCTGCAAACTCAATGATGGTGTTGGAGTCGTGCCTGACCATGCAGTCATGGGTGAACAGGGAGTACAGGAGGGGACTGAGCACGCACCCCTGAGGGGCCCCCGTGTTGAGGATCAGTGTGGCAGATGTGTTGTTACCTACCCTTACCACCTGGGGGCGGCCCGTCAGGAAGTCCAGGATCCAGTTGCAGAGGGAGGTGTTTAGTCCCAGGATCCTTAGCTTAGTGATGAGCTTTGAGGGCACTATGGTGTTGAATGCTGAGCTGTAGTCAATGAATAGCATTCTCACGTAGGTGTTCCTCTTGTCCAGGTGGGAAAGGGCAGTGTGGAGTGCAATAGAGATTGCATCATCTGTGGATCTGTTGGGGCGGTATGCAAATTGGAGTGGGTCTAGGGCTTCTGGGATAATGGTGTTGATGTGAGCCATGACCAGCCTTTCAAAGCACTTCATGGCTATAGACGTCAGTGCTACGGGTCGGTAGTCATTTAGGCAGGTTATCTTAGTGTCCTTGGGCACGGGGACTATGGTAGTCTGCTTGAAACATGTTGGTATTACAGACTCAGTCAGGGACATGTTGAAAATGTCAGTGAAGACACTTGCCAGTTGGTCAGCACATGCTCGGAGTACACGTCCTGGTAATCCGTCTGGCCCTGCGGCCTTGTGAATGTTGACCTGCTTAAAAGTCTTACTCACATCGGCTACGGAGAGCGTGATCACATAGTCATCCGGAACAGCTGGTGCTCTCATGCATGCTTCAGTGTTGCTTGCCTCGAAGCGAGCATAGAAGTGGTTTAGCTCGTCTGGTAGGCTTGTGTCACTGGGAAGCTCGCGGCTGTGCTTCCCTTTGTAGTCTGTAATAGTTTTCAAGCCCTGCCACATCCGACGAGCGTCAGAGCCGGTGTAGTACGATTCAATCTTAGTCCTGTATTGACTCTTTGCCTGTTTGATGGTTCGTCGGAGGGCATAGCGGGATTTCTTGTAAGCGTCCGGGTTAGAGTCCCGCTCCTTGAAAGCAGCAGTAGTAGTAGTAATAGTAATAGTAGTAGTAGTAGTTAAGTCAGTTAAGAACACATTCTTATTTACAATGACAGCCTACACCGGACGACGCTGGGCCAATTGTGCGCTGCCCTGTGGGACTCCCAATCCCGGCCGGTTGTGATACAGCCTGGAATCGAACCATGGGGTCTGTAGTGACGCCTCAAGCACTGAGATACAGTGCCTTAGACCACTGCGCCACAGAATATCCCCACCTTCTATGTCACAACTCTTTCTATGAAAGTGATGAAGCACACATAGCACAGATCTGTTCTCTTTTTAATGTGTCGTCTTTCAAACACAGACCCTGAGATTTGTTACTCAGCACTTTCTAAATATTTTACTCATATCTCTGTCGTAGAAGTTGTTGCCTTACCTTCAAAACTTTACACATGATCTCATACACAGTGTAGCTTTTCTCTGCCCTGGTCCAGTCCCATGTAGTCACCTGCAACATTCCACATTAAATACACCTTAGTCTTATTTTATTAATAGACTACACACACAGGGTACTGAAACCCTGCTTCCACTCAAGAACACAAAGAAACTGAACAGTTCTTTATTCTATTCAGATGGATCCCTTTTAAATCTTTTGAAGTGTAATTACATTAGTCTGTTTCAGTTGCTTTAACTTTAATATTTTAAATCCTACTTAATATTTAATTATTGCACACACTGTGTTCACATGTTCAAACTATAAAGCTACATCTATCCCAACATCAAAAGGATATGTTTAAAGCTAGTGATAAGCGTTAACCAAATATGCAGTGCAAAGTCTCAACATAACCATTCAATTAGGATTTTAGTCACAGACATATGCAGTTGAGGAAGACATTCAAACAAA